TGCTCATCATAGGCTCCTGTATAAGGAAGTGAATCAAGGAGTGCGCTGGGGAATTTTCTCTAACTCTCCTTTTCTCTCTAAATCTGATTCACTATGACGATTCCCTCGTAACATATCAACTTTAGCCGTTTCTGTCTCATAATTAATAAAGTTTCCCAGGCTCATGTGGCGTGGGGCATACTTTATTTCCTCAAGGACTGCTTTAATAAACGGTGGGGCCGAGCCAAGGACGTACTTTGATCTCTTGGTAAGCGGTCAGCTAAAAACAGAAAAGATTATAAATACAGATAAAGATCATTCAGGGTGCCAGGAGGGCTTGCTCCCAAGGCTATCTCCAGATATGAGATCTGCCTACGGCATCAGGTCCTATCTTGACCACTGATTGCCAGGGGACCGCCTGGGGCTTCGCTCCAGAAAGCTCTAACCCCAATCCTTCAGCAGGCAAAAGCCAGCGCAGAGGCATTTTGTCACTACACGGCAGTCACTGCTATGGACATGGCAACTGACCCTGGCTCCTGACCAAATAGTGAATGTTTACTAAAAAGTGGGGAAAAGCCTCAGGTCAGTTCTCAGAGGAGTCAGAACCTGGACTCTACTTTAGGATCTTTCCCCTCTGTATTTTGTTTTATTCAACTGTGCCTCAGGTGGGTCTGGGGAATTGAGTCCTGGGTGTTTGTAATCTCATCTTTTGAATTTTCGGCAAAGACCTGGGAAGATAGGAGGCTACAGAAATACGGACGCTTATGAATGCTCAGCTCTGCTTGGCCTTTCCCCTAGTCAAGGTCTTTTTGTAGTCTCCCTGTCCATCAAATTCTGGCCGTTTCCTCAGCACTTTGATCTAGAGTTCAAAGGCTGGGGATGCATAGAAAATGTGTGTGTGAACATGGGACCTAAGGAGTCTTTATCCAGACGCCTGCCAAATTGGTACTGGCAGCGTTCATAGTCCTTAGCGCAGAGAGAGCGCTTCTGTGGCAGAGTAGCGCTGGCAGAGGTGCGACTTGGAGGGAGGGATAGACATTGTTGGGTCGAGTCACTGGGAAACCTGAGTTCCTGCTCCCCGTAGCTAAATTCTAGCTCATTCTTTCTTGTCTCTATTGCTTGTTCTTCCTAACTATGTTCTATTTTTAGCAGGCACAAACTATACTTGAGCTTTTGTTTGTTTGTTTGGTTGGGTTTTTTTGACACATGTAGCTGAAAAAAAAAGTTTTCCCTAGTCTTGACAGCTCCTCTTCCCTCCTGTGGCTTCCCTCTACCAGGGGATTCCACATGTGGCCTAAGACTGCCAGTCACATCCAAACGCCACAGGACGCCATCACCATCTATCCCCAGAGGGCCGGCTAACCTCAAGGTAAGTTCCAGGGGTCTTTGCGAGGCTGCACGTCTTCTGAGAATCTTTAGATGCTTCCTTCATCCCCCGACTTGAATCAGAGGCATGGTCGCAGCACGAGCCTGCAGTTTTATAGCCTAACAGACACATTTGGACAGAAATCCCCCACTTTTGCTCTCCCCATCAGTATAGAACATTCAAAAATGAAGCCAAATGTCTCCGAGAAACATTTGTGGGGATAAACTGATTGGATGCTAAGACACCTCCGTCTCAGGCTACCATCGTCCCTGAGTCCCTGATTTATTTTGGTACTGAAACGGTTGCAGTGCCACCATTCAGCCACATGTTAATTTTTTTGTTTGTCTATGCAAGGGTGCAGACTACATATGGTTTATTTCAATTAGCTTAATTGTTTTTGGTATTTAATAGCTAATTGTCTTAATTAGCTTCCGAAGCACAACAATGCTGACAACGGTAATGACTACATCTTATCCATATGGTTACAGAAGACAGATGAGTCGGTCTCCCATCCTCGGGCTGTGTCTGTCCCAGGAGGACAGGGCAGATGCACGAGAGGAGGAAGATGGAAGTCCTCAAGAGAGCTGACCTGGCCTTGAAAGCAGAAACCTGAATATTAAGAATAAAGAGGAGGTGATGGATGGGAAAATAAAACGGGAGAATGAAGGATTTATGGAGAACCCGAGTCATCAATTCCCTTAATGCAGATACCCCAGAGTGATGCGGGGTGAATAATGATACGGACGACCACACATTTCACAGGTCCGGCAGGCTATATTGGCTCTGCTCTGAAGAGGCCATGTTTGAAGAACAGACTAGAGTACCGAGTGTGAGAGATGTCCCATGGTACAATCTGTCTTAGGAATCGCTGGTACCAGTCAGAGCCTGGGGGACATTTCTCTAGCCAGTTTGGCTCAGAAATAGTTCAGAGCTAGTGCCTGGCCCACAGTAGGAGCTAATGTATGTTTTAATCAGCAGCGCTCTGGAACTCTGACAGGCTTAACCTTCTAGATTGACACTCAGCAACTCCTTCACTGCTGTTGCCATGGTGTGATTCCCCCATCCCCCTTGATCTGGCCACCTCTGCCAGACTTAAAACTGGTCCTTTGGCATCTATCCTTACACTCTAGAGTTCATTCTTTTTTATATATGATTTTAAAGAAGTTACATTTAAATCTTTATTTACCTAATGTGTATGGGGAGGGGAACTCATGTGTCACGGGATATATGTAGTGGTAAGGGGATGACCTTTGACCCCCTTCCACCGCGTGGGTCCTGGGGGATCAAACTGAGGTCATCAGGCTCCGTGACAAACACTTCTACCCATTGAGCCATCTTGCTGGCCCCAGAATTCGCTTTTAACAGAGTAAGTGTCTTAACTTGTTTCTCATTGCTTTAGTAAGCTATCTGGAACATGGTAATTTAGAAAGAAAAACCTTTCTCTGGCTCATGACTATGGAGTCTGAGAGTTTAAGAGCAAGGCGGACTTGTGCTCGGCATCTGTGCGGGACTTCATGATGCCTGTGGAACAGTGGAAGATAGCACCCATTGAGACAGGGCACATGTGCCAGTGTGGTTCTCCCTTTCTGTTCTTACAAAGCTACTAGTGTTATTGAGGGACCCCCCATAATCTTATCCAGCCCCAATGATTCCCCAAAGACCTCATTGCCAAGTGTCATCAATGTGTGAATTTGGGGGATAAATTTCCAACATAGAAGGTCTTGGGGGACACATTTAAACCATTGCAACAGCTAAAGAAAGCCATTTAAAACCCAAAGCATGAGGTCACGTCACTGTCCTGCGAACTCTCTGTTGTCAGCCGTCTCACTTAGAACAGAGCCAGACTCCTTCCAATGACAAGGTCCAGCAAAAGCCTTCGCACCCCACGCCCCCTTTCTGACTGCTTCTCCACGTGTCTTTCCTTCCTTCTTCCTCTGTACCTCGAAGACCTTTGCATGCCCACGGGTTAGAGCTGCGCTGTTTGGGTTACATCTGCCTGCGACAATCCGACACAAGGCTAGTCACTGCGTGTCAGTTACCTTTTCCACACTATGACAAGATACCTGACATTCTGGAGGGAAAGCTAAAGTTTGAATCTTGGAGGAGTTGGGCTGGATCGGGAGGGCAGAAGGCAGCCACTAGCTTGAAAGGGAGGCCTGTGTGGGAGGAAGTAGGGGTGGTTCTGGAAGGAGTGGGTGTTGGCTTTAGTTTCAGCACAGGGGGTGGGGGAGCTGGTTCTTAGAACCATTTTTAGGAAGGCGGTGTTACTCCTGTGAGGCGTTTGGGGTGACAAAATGTGGTGTTCCTGACACTGTTTGTAGCACACCTGAGCTATGTGCTTTGTGTTTGAAAGAGCAGGAAGCCACTGTCACCATTTAGCACTTTCCATATGCCACACCTCGTTCTAAGTATTTTATACGCAGATGCTCATTAGTCCTCACAATCCAGTGAGGTAGCCGCCTTTATTGTCTGACCAATGAGAGGTCACAGTTTGCCTACGATGCCCTGACCATAGTGGTGGAGTAGTATTGGACTACGTTGTCTGGCTCTACTGCGCTAAGCTGTTTGGTTTTGCTTCACATCTAGGACTTTAGGAAACACTTCTCTCATCCTTGCTTTCTACAGCTGTTGGGGAGCTGGGGAGGGAGAGCCCTCCCCCCCCATTCTGGCCCTGTCTTCCTTCCATCCTGCCTCGTCCCTTCTTCACCCTCTGTCTTTTGTAGTTAGTATCAGGCAGGGGGTGTGGGAGAGTGGCTTTATATCATGTGAGCAGAAGGTGGAGAAGGCTAGGGTCCACTCCCTGGATTGGCTGGGGTTGGTTTGCACTTTGTGGGGCCTAAAGTTTATATTATCTATTGTAGGAGGACTCTCCAAGGATAGATAGGGAGCCTGGGAGTGGTGGTGCATGTCTTTAATCCCAGCACTTGGGAGGCAGAGGCAGGTGGATCTCTGTAAGTTCGAGGCCAGCCAGGAATTCCAGTTACGTAGAGAAATCCTGTTTCAAAACAAAACAAAAACAAACAACAACAACAAAAAAAAACAAACAAAAGAAACCAAACCAACCAACCAAACAGACAAACAAAAAAACAAGGAAAAATACAAGCAAGAAAATATAGAAAATTATCCTCTTTTACAAATTTCATGAAGCTGCAGTCAAGGTGAGTCATATCTTGCCCACCATCAGATTTTCAGAGCCCTCGTTAGTTCCCTAGAAACCTTCCTCTTACCTGAGCCTGGCTTGTCTGACCATCCCAGAGGGGAAAGTTGACCAGCTGAGAATCTGTCTTCTGATAGCATTGGGTCCCTCTTAGAACAACAGCCAAGTGAAGGAATAGGCTCTTGGAATCTCTTTTTCCACCTCTCTGAGAACTTAGGGTGGTCCAGCTATCATCATAGTTCGTAAATGGACTCCCTCATTCAACCTCATCTGGAAAAAACGTGATTTATCAAAGGCAAGGTGGCCTTACCAATTAAAATTCAGTTCTGCTTAACACTCATAAACCAACACTTGATACTGAAGAGTTGGTGTCAAGGAGAAAATGTTTGTTATGAAAAACCAACTAATTAGAAAATGGATGGTCTGTTGTCCCAGGGACCGTGTCAAGGAACGTGGATACCTGGAAAAACTTTTTTTTTTTTTTTGCAAGGGAGTGGTCTTGGGACTGAATAGACAGGAGGACTACTTGCTGATTGTACATCCACCAGGCTCCATAAGTATCTCTGCCACGTGAGCTACTTCCCTTTCTTCTTTGTCAGACTTTCTATGTGGTAACTATTGACCTAGTCCCCAGGGCCAATCCTGAGATTCTTTAGAAAAATGTGCCATTTACCCTGAAGTGGATCATTACACTTCTTTAATTAAAGAAAAATATTAGGAGATCCGTGTTTCACACTGGTAACTGATTAGGGAGTCTTGGCACCAATGTGGTCTTGCTTTTTCCTGCGGTGTCTGGCTTGGACAGTTCGTTTATCTGTCGTTTCAAGGCAGTTTCTGTAGACTGTCTAATGCTGGGCAAATGGGAAAAACAAAGAACAGCTTTAATAGTTTAATGAGGTAATACGTTTAAGAGGTAATCTAGACTCAGGTGGAAGGAGGAAGAGCCAGTGGCTACAGAGACTGGGTGCAGTTACATTAGGGCTGTATTTCCAGCCCTTGGGAAGTGGGAACAGGAGAATCAGAAATCCAAGGTCATGCTGAGTTACACTGGGAGATTGAGGCCAGACTGGTCTGTAGAAAACCTTGTTCAAGGGCTGGAGAGATGGCTCAGTGGTTAAGAGCATTGCCTGCTCTTCCAAAGGTCCTGAGTTCAATTCCCAGCAACCATATGGTGGCTCACAACCATCTGTAATGAGGTCTGGTGCCCTCTTCTGGCTAGCTGTATACATAATAAATAAATATTAAAAAAAAAAGAAAACCTTGTTCAAAACAAACAAACGAACGAATGAATTTGTTGGTATTTTCCTTGTGGGCTTTGAGGCACAAACTGTCATGGGGTGCCGTAGATGAACTTAGTTCTGTCCTATTTTTTGGCTATGTACTTTGTTTAGCCTGTTTTCATAATACTTTGTTAACACAGTCTTATGGAGTGGCTTGGTACCAGTCTCTGCTTGCCTGGCATTTTATAGAGTGTCTAGGAGCAGGCCTATTCTTCATCCCTGTTTGGCCCAGAAGGGCTATGTCAGAAATTGATTCTGGTTTGTCTTTAAAGAAAGACATATTCAGCCGGGCGGTGGCAGTGCACGTCTTTAATCTCAGAACTCGGGAGGCAGAGGCAGGCGGATCTCTGTGAGTTTGAGGCCAGCCTGGTCTACAAGAGCTAGTTCCAAGACAGGCTCCAAAGCTACAGAGAAACCCTGTCTTTAAAAACAGCAACAACAACTACACAAAGCCAAACCAAACCAAACCATACCAAACCAAAAAAGACATGATCAACGTTTTTGGGGAGGTTCGACAGCTTGGCTTCAGCCCAGATGGGGCAGAGATAAACTGCTTAGTGGTGGAAGGACCCAAGGGCTAGCCCATGGGAAGTTGGAGACCCAGGTGGGAAGGGTAAATCTGGCCCACACAGGGAAACAGCATCCTCACTCACCAGACTCTGGAGAACGAATCTGTCGCACGGAAGGGGGTGCCTTGTGATCTCAGCACGTGGACTGGGTATTATCAGCTTCACTGCACGGTCCTGCCATGTACCACAACTTCGCTGTGGTTTTTCCAGAGCAGGCGAAGGCCACCGAGAACACTCATTTAATATTCAAGTGTTCCCCCTGTTCATTTACTTCACCCTCTTTCTCCGAGAAAATTGACTGTAAATGGTGACTCCACAGACAGTCCTGAACTGCAAATTAGAGCTAAGCCAGCAGCCCTGAGATTTACAATCATAACCTCTTGGAATTGCACTATTAACTAAACTGAACACAAGTGTATTAAGTTACAAGCCCCGGCTTGAGCAATTACTGATGATGCCTCTTCAGTCGATAATTTTATAATGCCTGGAATTGCTATTGCCTCTTCAATCAGGTCTCTAGGCTGGGGTCATAGATCTCTCTTCCCCCGCCCTTGCCCTTCTGTTGTACTCTCTGTCCTCCCAAGTTTTCCTGAGGGGCTGTAGGAGCCTGGATAGGATGTCTTTCTCCTTTCTTTTAGGAGTTGTGCAA